TTGCTCTGGTTCCTTTCTACCTCGTCGTTCACAATCTCAATATCGACCGCTCTTACTCCACCAATCTGATCACCGGTTATTGACTTGATCAAATTCAGTAATCCTTTTGGATACAATAATACGATGCTTTACATTCGGCTTGGATTGAAGAATATTTATGTAAATGCTTGGGCGGAGAAACAGTCATACTTCAAAAAAGAGATCACAAACTGTTCAGTATACCGGTTCAGCCTGCGCCATCATTTCTAGGAAAAGCCAAAGGAATAAAAGCAGTTAACGCTTTTTTGAAGGGTCTGTGACTGTTTCTTCGCTCAGACATTTCTTATGAATATTCTTCATTCCAAGCCGAATGTAATCAAATTGAATTTATTATATGTAAATAAGGAGAACCGTAACAATGATTACATAATGCACACAAAAGTAGCTGTTTTCAGACGACAATGGTTGCAAGGATTCGCTCGAGTTCAAATGCTCCTTCTGATTTTTTTCCAAATTCTGAATCTCATTGTATTTTTATTTTGCTCAAGCAACTAACCATCAACATAAAGTTCCAGCTCATCGTTTTGAGTAAGTATTGTAAGTTTTCTGTAGATTTCCACAATAAATATTTTCACTCATTACTGCGTGCTGTTTTTTTATGAAGAACGCAATTCACATACACAGTAGAATCATGACGTCAGACCTTCGTTTTATTCGCCTTCACTTCTTCAGGGATTGAGCCGTTAATACGCCTTACCCACGGGCCATTTGTATTCGACTGACACTTTCCAAACCGCTTTGAACATCCATTAAGTAGAACTACAGTAGCGGTCAAAAGTGTTCGCCGAAACGGTTTTCGTGCTTCTCTTTTTTGCCAGAAAAAAATCAATGGTGACCTCGAAAATTTTTTCTTTTGAATATCCTGATTCTTAAGTTGAGGATATAAAAACACTAGAAAACATAGTATATCAATCTTTGGAGGACGTTGCTCAAGCGAGAAAAAATAATGCACTGAAAATCGTTTCGGCGAACACTTTTGACCGCTACTGTATGTTCACGACTCCCATAATGCATACAAGCAAAAGTGCTAAAAAAGTCGCCATTGGCTCTCAGGAATGTTTTTTTCCGTTCAAAGGTGTGATTAGATACCAGCATTGATGAGAATTTTATGAGCAAATATCCATAATGTCCCTCCAATACTAGCAGGAACATGCCCTCTCTCATTGCCTTAGCCGACTTGAAAAACTAAGAGTATTACGCATCTGATAACAAGCCACCAGTGAAAGTCAGCAGTCCAGGGTGCCGAGGAATCGAGATGCTGTCTTTTCGTCCACAAATGCGTGCTATTAGCAGCCCCTGTGGCTGCCAGAATTCTCCTGAGTCTCTCGCCTCCGCTTCCGCCCATGGTTTTAGTAATTAGATCATTATTCCTCATCATTTTTTTTGGTATGAGGTTATTCCACTTCGAGTGTGTATCCTATAGACTTCTCCATGGAATCCCACATCGACCTAAAGGCAAAGCCGGGCCCAGCACGCTAGAGAATAATTCCCTCCTAGAGGTTGTATGTGGGTACTCACCACTGCATGCAACTCGCACCCTTACAGAAACCCCCGTTGAGGCCTTCCAGCATGTTCGGTTTCAATCCAGGGCCGCCTGGTCAATCCAGGACCGCCCACCTCCGGAAGTGGTGCGTGGCTGGCATAACGTGTGAAATCAGCTAGGTTGATTGCCGTATCAACCGATAGAACGACTGACATCTCCAGAAAACTTGTTTGTACGTGCCTCTTTCCCAAGCCAGCCTCCTTCACTGCTAGTGGGAAAGAGGGTTTTGTCCGACTTTTCGCATCGTCTAACTTCGTATAATCGCCATAATACCTCCTTTGAGCCTCTCGACTTTGCCTTAAAAGTCATTTATCTACTTGGTCATTCCTCTCACAGCCTATCTTGTCCAATGGATCAGCGCTTATCACGTACGCACAAAAGCATAAATTGGCTTGCGTTTTATAACTTTCCAGAGAGTCTAGCATTCCCTGTATATTTTTGATAGATTAGAATGCGCAACTTTTATTTGCGAAAAAGAAGCAATCGGTTTCATCAATCCCTAGTGTATTAATTCCATCGTAAGTTTGCGAGAGTGACTAGCTTTTGTCCACCCCCTCCCCTTGCCTCGCTGGAGACATATCGTTCTGTTGGAACAATCGAGCCCATAACGTCTGCGTTGACACCCCTCAAGGATTCAAAGGTTTAGGATGGCGATAATCAGGTCTTGGTCAAGTAGTAGCAACAGAAGTAGTGGTAGTAGTCGAAAAGAAGTGCCAAATGAAGCAGCAGTAAAGAAGAATACTGATCATGCCGTCAAAAATCCGAGTATCTCAAAAATCCAAGAGCTAGGACCTTCTCCTCCCCCTGGCGTGGGACAAGTTAACAATTTGAGATACTGGCTTTGTGTGTTCTCAGGGAGTATAAGAGGCGACAAGATAACAAGATACTGCGGTTTGATACAAAATGCACTTTGAAAACTTCGTCGGGCAAATGCATGGCGTATACTCTTGGAAGCCCAACGGAGGGACTCTTTCAAAGAACGTTTTCTTTCGCATCTTTAGGCACATGTATTTCGTCTACTATTTCGTTTTTGGTTAGTCATCAAAACGCATAAAGCGCAATAAATAAAATTCATAAATAACTATCGTTCATCATTTTGGGTGATTGCGACTGTTATTAGAAAACTGGAAAATAGCATTTTATCTTGAGACGGTTACATGTACAAGCACACACTGAGTTAAAAAATCGATCAATTTGATTCACAGCAAGTAGGTTGGTACAGGGACAACACGTCATTAATATTAAACATATTCAAATAAATTTCATCATCGCAAATTCTAGCGGAACGTAAATGCAAATGTAAATTCCAATATAAATTATTCGATATTGAGCTAAGAACAATCATATTACAGAATTACTGCTCCTGTGATGTCTGTTTGCTTACCACAGGAGCAGAAGTGGCACTTGTGGTCGAAAAGCTTGATACACGAGAATCGGTTATGGCAGGTGTGTTCGTGTGCTCCTGCTCATCGGTGTCAAATCCCTGAACAAACATCGCTCAAAGAACAAGTTTCATAGAAAAATCAATGCAACATAGCCCGAATAACTCATTTGTATTCGATTCGATTCCATTAATGCAGAATTAAGTGCGCTCTGTTTCCTTTAGCGGGACGTGTCGTAAATGCAGACTGCAGACATCCTGCAGTCAGGATGAACATATGTGGAGAAAATTCAGCAAATACGACCTCCCCCCCCCCAGTTAAGGTTGCCTAGCTCTCCTTCGTCTTAGGATCTATTCAAGCTGTCTTTCTTCTAGCCGTCCTACTTGTAGCTGTACATGTGTTTACCTAATCTTCGTAATTGGAGCTTAATGTGTTGACCCACTTTCACACTAACCAAATGCTTCATCCCTTTCAACGGGAAAGTGATGCAATAGTTGGAACCAGCGGCAGTCCTATCCTCAATGAACCAAAATACAAGCCTATTGAATATTCAGAGGCGGAAGAAGTGTAGAGACAAAGTGGCGTTGCTACACATACGTGGCTCGGGGATCAAACCCTGTGCGCCCGGTCGACTCAGCCCTCCATCCGTTTGGGACCGATCAGACGTGTGTGGTAGGATAAAACAATGACATGTACATCGACTGGCCCCATAAGTCATTATATAGCCAAATCGCCCCATTCAAAAATGTCACCACACGATTTTGAATGAAAACGGAATGCATGGCGCATCCTAAAACCGGATTGATCGATGTCGAATACTTTATGTTTCACGCTTTTTATTGAAGAATCCTTTGATGTCGGCTCAACCTGCAGATGCCGCGAGGCCTTGAAAAAATCCATATCCCTTGAGTTTTTGATGCAATTCGTGCAATACACGTGCCACCTTTCTGTCGGTTTGCAATCAGACACGTTTCGCAGCAGGACAAAGAGTGTAGAAGGTGCACTTCGACTTGACAAAAAATATGATACTCCGTATAAAAAAACATTAAAAGGATAAAGCATTTGCCGTTGATCAATCCCTTTTTGGGATGCGGCACGCATTCTACTTCCATTTGTACATTCGTAGTGGCATTTGAATGCGATGTGGCCTATACAATGACTTGCGGGGGCCAGCCGATGTTCAAGTCAGTGTTTTTATCCTCCCAGACAAGTCTGGTACCAATTAACCGACCACTGGAGTGATGAAAGATTGGTTGGCTTGAACGACGCACGACATAGGATTCATCCCACGCGCGTGTAGTGTGCTGCGCCATTTGCCACCATTTCCGACTATATTCTATGCTCCGGATATGAGTCGTAAGCCACCCATCCTCAAAAAAGGATTTGAATGGCAGGTTACCAGGTGAAAGTTTATACAGCACTTTTGAAGTTTCATGAGAAGCACTAAAATTTGGGAACGTCATCAAAAGTAATATTGACTTGTGAAATAAAGTGATATTTGATAATCATGGACGATACTGACCTCTGATGGACTCCTTTTCACTTCACCTTTCTGAAAAAAGAAACATTAAGAACATACGGAAATTTGAAGTCCACTATTCAGTGAGCTTAACAACAAGTTCAAAGAAAAGATAAACACCTTAAAGTAATTAAGGTACAAGAGGTACATACACAAACACATGAGGTAAGGTACAAGAGGTTTAAGCTGAATAAAACTTCTCCATATTTATGAAACGCAGTTTACGTCAACCATACCAGCCCATTTCCAATGATTAACGACACCAAAACGTTCGGTCTACTTAAAGAAAAATGGGCTTCAATTCCACATCCCAAAATTGATGTTTTATCGAATCAGTTCCCAGAAGATGAAAATAAGAACTTTAGGTCGCTCTGTCTTCCAAACAAAATATCCCTTTACCCCTCCCTTAGGAGAACAATTAGTTTCTGTATCGTGCTCGAGAGCTGCGAGAGTAGAGATCTATTCAATTTCTTTTGGTATTGTGAAATCCCAAGGATTTTTGGGTCGTATAACTTCCAGTTCATCAGCCGTCATAACAATCATAATTTTCTGTATAATCAGTTTATGATTTTTACAAAGAATGACTTCACAATTGTTTTCTGCCCAAGTCTTAATGTCCACTACCTGGTAAAATTGGTTGAACACCGTCTTTTCATATAGAGGGTCGCAATAGACTTTTAAAAAAGAAAAGCTCGACCTACAATGCACGTGCAGGGGCAGGGAGGGTCGAAAAAAGACATTTTGCTCATTCCGCACTTAATGGTTTTTTTTCCGAAGATTGCCTCGTCATAGACAAGATTTGACACCGAAATATTACCGTCTTCAGAATATGACGTCATCTGTCATCGTCGTCAAGCTCAAGGAGGCCTACCGTAACTGCTTCAGCCTGAAGCTCTTACATAATTTCGTGAATCGATTCAATGTTGGATAGTTTTTTAGAGACATTAGCTCTGACTATGCAAACCTTCCGGAACTCGCTTTTCCAGAAAATTTCCTAAAGGTACACGATCCCTGAAGGACTCCGTTGAGCTCGACCAGGGGCCGTATCCTTCATTTCCCCAGAGGGACGCGTCCCCCACCGCTGATCCTATCCTACGGTTACGGAGACAGGGTTGCGTCATAGGCCAGCCATACTCTGCGTTTCTAGACTCCAGACAGCGCGACCTCTCAGAGAAAAGGCTGTTCCAACAGAGAGGGTAACTACAACATTACGCGTGTACTGGTAGGCCCTATTACGCACCCTGTCTCCCCCAAGTTTAGAATAGAATTAGCGGCCGGGGACGCGTCCTCTTTCGACAAGCATAGGGTACGACCCCACTGCACCATGTTTCTAGGGCAGATTTTTCTGACGCCGTCCACATTCAGGGCTAACATGAATTTTTCCATAGAGTGGAATGTGCTCTTCAATTAAAATGGAGCATTCGAGATAAGTTTAGTAAAGGGTGATAAATCCTTTTAATATAGAGACAAAATGTCTTTTTTTCGTTGGCCCTCCTGTATGCTGCTACTCATGAAAATACAAGTACTTCCACCTACAAATTTTTCGAGCGATCTTTTTCCATGATGTAAACACACTATAGTAAAAGCATGTTACATAAAAACAAGTTTTCGTAGCAACAAATGTTCCAACATAGAAACGCAACGATTTTTCCTCTTTTCTTCAAGAGGATACTCTGCCTAATCGTGCGAGTCGTTCTTCCTCTCCACTTATCGCCGCTGCATTTCATTTTTACCTGTTGAAACTGCTTGATTAGTTTCAAACCAGATTGGTCCCCCGTCAACCGCCGGGACCTTCCTTTCCTGCGCAAGCTTTCTATCTTCCGCTGTGGTCCCTTCCCACCTGTGACACCAACACCTCGTGGAAGTGACGCGTATGCAACAAAAAGGTGTTCATATAGTAGAGGGAATCGCCATAACCAAGACGTGACGGTACGGTTAGCGGCCTTACTACCTACTTCATTGCGGGCGGACCTAGACATACAAACCGAGATATCGAGTTAGCGGTTTGTAAACTAAAGAAGAATATTTTTTTCAACTAATGAAAGTCGTCCTGTTTATTTATTCATCTATTTATCCATTTATTTACTTATTTATTTACCTACGATCCGAATAACGCGCTCTTAGTTCGACCAAGTAGGAAAGGTAAGCACCACATAAGCAAACAAACAAACAAACAGACAAACAAGAGGACCAAAGTCAGACTGATTGGTCAACCTGGACCAAACATCTTTCAAAACATGTCTCACCTCATAACTACCACTAGGGATACTAGAGGTCTTCTTTGCCGGTTGCTGAAAGAAAAACCTGAGACTGGGAACAGTATTTTAACATCCTTGCCAAGCCTTTACTTGAATCTCATCTGGACGTGGATCAATACAATAGATCTGTAGCTGCAATCTATTTCGGAAAACGAGAAGAGCTTTGAGTGCAGACCACACACCACAAGTGACGACGGCCAAGAAAAAAGTGGCTTTTTTCTTTTTTTCTTGGCCGTCGTCACTTGTGGTGTGTGGTCTGCACTCGACGCTCTTCTCCGATTTCCGAAATAGAGGGTATCTATGTCGAGGCGTACGGTTAAATTTGATTATTAGGGGATAGCATTAATTTCAGTTGTTTTTCGATGGTTTTGGGTAAAAATTCAGCGTGATGATATAGTCTCCGTTCTGATGCTATCAAAGGGGTCGCTTGGGAAAAAACTGCCTGAAAATCGATACCTTTGCCCTCCTATTTCACAAGGGTAACAAAAAAAAGCGTAGACGTTAACCTTCATAAGAATCTAAATATTAGGGAGACTTATGGTTAGTAGTTCTGAATTCGCCGCAAATCTGTCGGAAATGTGAGCGGTGAAGGCAAATCAGCGTATGGGAATCTGGAAACTACTACAGTACCATGAGAGTTGCTCAGAATTGAACAACTCTTTTGAGACCGTCGACCCACGGACAATAGCGGAGCTAACCAAATAGTGAGTGGTTGTGGTTCGTAAAGGAATTTGGCGAGAGGGTGGAAGCATGCTACTGGCAGCAAGCTTAAGATATTGACTAATTTCTACCCAATTGGAAGCTCTCCCTTGTTTCGAGCCCATAAGTATTGGATTCATCTATCTTTATGTTTCCCTTTGGGCGGCAAGAAATAAAGTAACTACAAAGGGTAACCGTTTACGAAAATTATTCTTTAGTTTTTCAAAACAACTAACTTCTTGCTCGCCACGGCCAACCTGATTTCCCAACTTCTGAAAAAGTATTTTATCATTTTGGGCTTTTTCTAACCATTACACTGTGCAACGTGAGTATTTTTTCGTATCCTCAACAGAGTGAACAGTCGTTCCGCTACTTGTCTGATTTGGCATACACATTTTTGGAAGTGATTTCTCCGAATTGTACCAACACCATAACCTAAGGTGCAGGCAAATACTCCTAACCACAAGTGTATTCCCAGATGCCCCTCCGAGCTTTTTTTATTGGGCCATAACCCTTCGTCATTCACCTTCTCCTTCGATCTGCCTTCTGATATGTCATATAGATCAGTTTGGAGTTTTGCCGAAACACACGATGAGCAGATCGGTTTTTTTGGGAATTTGGAGGGGCCCACCGTTATCGCGAACGATATGGTAATAGACGACTCTGCGCGGTACTTAACACAATCCGACTCTGGAGCACCGTACTCTGTGCAAGCTTCGTTCTCCTCTTTTGTTAAATAGTGGATGATATCGGAACCCCATGTGGACAGAAAATGCAGTACTTCTTGGAGATCTGCAGATGAAAGTTGGTAAACGTGGTATACGCGATGGTATTTCCCTTCTATGTTCGGGAGAAAGTGCACGTTTAGCATCCCGAGCTGGAAGAGCTTGAGTAACCACAGAAGGTGGTAATTCATTCCATAAAGTGATGATTCTTTGTGTGAATGAACTTCGATATTCAGAGGAGTAAGTTTTCTTTGATAGAATACTAAGAGAGAAAACTTACTCCACCGAAGTTCATTCACACAAAGAATCATTACTTTATGGAATGAATTCCCACCTTTCGTGTCAAGCTCTTCCAGCTCGTTTAGGAGAAAGGTTAAGGAGATTTTGGTGTCTCGAGGTTGGTTTTAAGAGCAAGAAACTAAATTCTATAGAAACTTATGAGGCAGAGAAGCGATTCACTTTGCTGTCTGTTACATGATTTTGTGTGTCGTAAAAATTTTAATTCTCTTTTCTCGAGATAACCTCACGGGACAGTCACAACACACAATTTCACCCCAAAGAAACCAAGGAATTTAATTTTCATGATGCAAATCACTTGCTGCCATTTCTGCGGAGACTTGCTCATATTTTTTCCCATCCTACTGAAATACAGTGGAGTTCTGAAGCTAAAGACTCACATTAGCAGCAGGACTCCTTCGTTTCTGGAAAGAGTTTGAGAAATTTCAATTTTGAGGTCCAAATCCTGCTTATTGTTCCCCTATTCATGCAGTTTCAACTCCCATGAAAATTTTTCGGAGATGTGAGCGGCAGGGGTGTGGTTTAGGAAGTGAAGGCGTGTTGATATTCCATACCCACATTCATCATAAGGGAATAACCCCAATTTGAAACTATATTTGTGTGTGTACAGAGTTAGGCTTAGGCAGACAAAGTTCCGAAAAAATGAGCTCAAATTATTTCTTTAAGAGGATTCGGAAACCAGCCCTAATCAAAAGCATAAAGGCACTTTGGGCAAGAGAAGTTTAGCAGCAAAATGCCACAGAATTGCAAATGAGAGAAAGAAGAAATTTTACTGTCCGAATCTTATCGCCC